TGGAAGACTTCAAATGTATACTAGTACTATGTCAGCAAAAGAATTGATATTCCTGTCTTCCATAAAGTCATGAAGGACAGGGCTTTTTTAAAGCTCTGTATTCTAATGATAGTGACAGCTGCTATTTATTTATTCATTTATTGTATTTATATCCCACCTTTTTACTGCACAGAACCCAAGTGACTGATATAATCTCCTCTCCTCCATTTTCTTCTCAGAACAACCCTGTGAGGTAGGTTAGGCTGAAAGTAAGTGATGGGCCCAAATTCACCCAGGAACTTCACGGTCAGTTGGGGACAAGAACTTCCCAAGCCCCACTGAAACACTCTAACCACTAGGCAACACTGTCTTAAATATGCGCATGTACAATAACTGCAAAACAACTACTTTGGTTTTTTAAACTGCTGTATATTAACATTAAGCAGCTGGAGGAGATAGTAGAAGGAAGGAGAGGAAGGAAAACAGCAGGAAGATTAATAAAATCTTGAATTCCTCACTAGGGCAAATTTACTAGGAAAAGTGTATCATATGATGGCTTGTTTAAAATTCTTCTATTCTGAAGCTTCCTTGGGAATGCAGTGCTAGCAGGTCAGTTTTATATTTAATCTGGTCCTGAGGAATTATCAGAAACTAGCCTTCTGTCTGTAGTTTAAATATTTATCTGGCCAGCTGAAGGCTGATTCTGAAGGAACCTTAACCAAGGTGACTTTCCTCCCCTCCCTGCTTGTTGTCATTGTTCATAACTTTTTGCATAAATGTACCCCTAGACCCTCAGCCCCAGACAGAATGTGTGGGGTGCACATTCCCCACACAGTCCTTCTTTGTGCTTCCACACAGAGAGCTAGCATGTCTTTCCCGCAAGCGGATTTTAAGTGGTAAGACAAAAGATGTAAGAAGTAATGGGAAAAGATGGGGGAGTAATAAGTGGAGCATGACATTATCTGTCCAACTAAAATGTTGTGCATATGATGATATAATAAAACCCATATCTGGAAGCACCTTCCTTCCTGTAAGTGCTGCGTCTGCACAGCACAATCTCTGGAGGCCTTCTAGTTCAGAGGAACAGGGTAGAAGGTAGATTGAGGTCTACCAGTAGATCACTGGGTGGTTTGCAGTTGATTAGCAAGGTTTTCAGCTAATTGATTAACAATAGGAGCAGTTAATAGGCAAAATTTCCTTTTGAAATTAGGCTGCTGAAATGTAGAAAGCTTGGGAAGGAAACCAGGAGTAGTAGATTCCTGTGTAAAAGAACTGTTAGCTCAGTTCTGGCACTGAAATCATGTTCCTTTGTCTAGAGGCTCTGCTCTGCAATTGTCCCTTCTCCCCCCCCCCCACACCATTGTTTTACATTTGACTTCTCAGAGGTCTAATGAACCTTGAGGCCCTAATTAAAAAACAAAGGATGTCCCAGAAGCCTGAAGTCTGCCTATTCTCACTTAAACTTAAGCTCCTTCCCATTCTCATCATCCTCCCTTGGGCCTGCTCTCCCTACCTGAAAGACCCAGAGTTATCCCATAAAGAAGGGATTGATTGATTGATTGCTTAATTAATTAATTTCCATTTCTGTGCTGCCCCATAACTCAAAGGTTCTCTGGGTGACTTACAGTGCTATGGGATTATGGGAATTGGATCTCTTTTGAACAGAGATACAAATAAATCCTCTCTACTTTTACATCAGAGTTCTTTTAATAACACCTCACTTTATCAATGGAAAGTCTGCCCCATTTATAGCCAAGGGTATCTTAAAGGATGGAAGATGAATAAGATGGGGTCATCTCTTAAGCATTGTAATGCACTCTGCTGCTGCTCTCCAGGGTCTTGGTAATCCTACATGAGGAACTTCTGGAGTTCACTGGCAGAGAACTTCATTCCATATTTCAAACATGAGAATGTGGCAGAGGAAGTGCGGGGCTCTTGTGTTTCCTGTTCATTCCTCAGTGACGTCTGGCACGCTGAGATGTGACATCACGTCTGAAACCATCTTTGTTCTCCTGTTAGACAAAGGAGTAAGGAACATACGAAAAAAAGCAGCTATTTTAGCTGCCCTGCTTGCAGAAGGAAATCAAAATCGCTTAAATATACCCCATCATCATCATCATCATCAAAGGTTTTGATGGTGGACTGTTTGTATCTTTACGCTGTTTGACTTTTTGTAAATGAACACCAGTAGGACTGAGCAGGACTGGCAGTGGCTTCAGATCCCTTCTATCTGCACAGAATATTTCAGTCAGATCCCCATGCCCCTTTTCTCCTCATTCCTCATTGCCACACAGTCCATTGAAAGAAAATTCATACAAATATTGCAGACAGTTTTTGCATCCTGCACTTGGCAACTTTTCTCTGGATTAACCCTCCTCATAGGAAATGCAGAGTCGTTTACTGACATACTAACTGTCAGCAGTGCAGCCAAAAGGGAAACAAGCTGTGAAACCAGAGGGAGGAGAACCCCAAGGGTTACAGAATTACAACAGACTCTTTTTAAAAAATGTCCAGCAAAACAGGCCAGGAAAGTGAGTTGCTCAGTAGCTATAGAATGCCAATTATATGGCTGCTTGATTGTATCACACTGAGGGCTTTTTCATCCATTGTGGCTTGTTCTCATGGCAGTTGTCTCCACAAAAGGAAACATGCATGCTGTAATCTCTGAAGTGTATGACTGTTTTTAAGTACGTGAATAGAACATACTCTTGTTGGTTCCTGTTCACCCTTCTAATTGGGACAGCAAAGTCATCCGTGCAGTTCTTCAGACATTATGGAACAAATTTCCTACGCTGAAATTATCTCCACACCAAAATAAAGTGGTGCTTAGTTGTTTTCTATGGGCTTCACCCTTGCACGTTTGGTTTTTTGCGTAATGCATGTCCCTTGCAACCCATTCACTGCTTCTTGGCAGGTTGCCCTTCAGCTTCTTCGGCTACACATCGCAACATAAATTGCTGTCAGAAAGTTTAACCACCAGACTAAGGCATATGTCTCTAACAAAATATTCCAGGAACAAATTCCAGGTTACTTTCTTTGGACATAACTGACAGGACTCTGGGAATAAAATCTGTAGAACATAGTTTGTAGAAGAGTCACGTTTCACATTGTCCCTTGCCATAGATCTGTGAATTGTAGAGCTTTAGTGTGCTTTCCAAAAATTGCAACAAACACTACAGCTGTTTGGCAGGCTATCAGAACCAAGGCTGTGCTGAGGGAATGCAGGAACTGTTATCCCTGTGTACCTCTGTCCCAGCACAATTGTGCTGCCTCAGTGTACACTGGAGGTTATCACATGGGATTTGTGAGCTAAATCCTTCATGCTTCTAGAATCTAGATGTTTCCGCTGCTGCCAGAAAAGCATGTAACATGCCCCCTCTTGGGCAGGAGGCATGAAAAAGTTGTATATCCGATGTCATGGCACTGTGTCTGAAGAGTCTTGTAATTCTGGATGAATCCTCTTTCTTAGCATTCCAATACCTTATTAAGATATTGGAGTGATAGAAGAAAAGACATGATGGCAGCACTACAAATTGGGGGCAACAAAGTGGTGTGCCTTGAGAAAATGGAAGTCAAACTGAAACATTTATCTGCAACCAGCCCTCATGCTAACCCCAACCCAGGTACCCATTGATGTGCATGCAATCCTACAGCATGTATTTTTGACTTCCAGGGGATGCATTGGATCTGTTTCATTGTGGATGTGCGCAGGATTACATTGTAAGGATATCTTATGAGAGCTCTTCCTCCGGGTTAGTTTCCATGCCTTCCTGGGACAAATGCCAGCCAAGAAGCCTCTCCTAAGCTAAGGCTAAGCCACCATCTCTTGCTTCTAGTTGAATATCATGAGTGGACTACTTTGGGAGTTCAGGAGCCATTTTGTTCCCTTCCTGGACACCACTCTGTACGGTTCCTTCCAATTATTTTAAAGAAAAAAGGCATCTCTAGCACTATGGATCATGCACACTGTTTCAACTGCCGATTGCCATCCCCCCCAACTTTTCCCTGTATTTTGGAGGTTGACCCACAAATTCAGGGGGCACGCTCCGTTGCACAGATATATGTCTAGATACCAATGTGTGTAGTGTGACCAAGAGTGCTTGTTACAAGATTGGTTATGCAAGTTGTTCATCTTCCTTCCTTTAAAGTGCACGGCAGAAGCAGCAGCCCTTTAGCTTTTGGAACTGGGAAAATTTGCTCTGGAACTGGAACCACGAGGGCATGCAAGTAAAGAGATAAAGGCTGGTGCTGGTTAAGGCTCTGGTCTGTGCTGGAGGCTGCTTCCCTGTTGACATTTCAGCCTTCAGCTTGGATTTTGTGCTGCAACGTGGAGCTTGTACATCAGCTGCAGCAGCACTGTGGGGCGTAAGGAGGTGATGCTTGGTGTGCTGGCAGTCAGGTTGCATCAGCTGCTGGCAGCGTTTGTCTTTTAGCAGCAGCTGATGTGGCTCATTCTGGTGGTAGTTCTGGGACTGGCGGTTGCTAAGAAAATGTTTGCTCTGGTTAGGAGCTCAGGAACTAACCCTCTCCTCCTGACTCTTCTGCAGGAGCTTCTTTCACGATTCTCCTTTCCCCTTCCCACAGATTTAATTAATGAAAAGCAAAATGCTTGGCAGACTTCTAGTCTGCACTAGATACTTTGTATTTTCTACCACTTTTGAAAAGATTCCCCCCCCCCCAATTCAAATCCAAAGAGGTGTGTTTATTTAGTTATCCAAACAAAAGCAGGAAAAATGCTGAGTTTACTGAATGTTGGATTTAGGGATTCAGCAGCCATGGAACAGCAGTATTTTAAAATGCTACTTTGAAAAGTATTTTGCACTGTTCTGGAAAAGAAAAAAAAATGCTTGAGTCTGACATTTTCCCCCAAACTGGAAAGCTGAAAGAAATCCTGGTTTCAGGAAGGTGCCGCTCTCCCCGTCTGCAATGTTTCTGTTTCCTGTAGAGTTTCCACATTACCTACATCAGGCTGGGGAGACTGTCTGGGTGGCAGCCATAGAAGCTTCCTTGTTCTTTTGCAGGTGAAAAAGGTGCTCCACCAAGGTGTTCACAATGCTGTGCCGAGCTGCTCTTCTCCCTTCTCTGCGTTCCTCGGGACGATTCTGGCGACAGTCCGATGTGGCTGGCTCCCACCCTTGTGAGTACCCAAAGCAGGGGACCAGAGGGAGTGGTGTCCTGGAGGAGGGTCCTGTGTTTCCTACTGAAGAACAGGGAAACCTCAGCAGGATGCTAGACTTGTTTCCCTGATTCCCACTGCTAGCGACAAGCGGCCAAATGGCAGCATGCTTCCCTTGACAGTGCCCTGCTTTTACTTTATCATCCCGTGGAAGCATCAACCTGGAAGGCAAAAAATATTTCTGAAGCCTCTTTTCCTTGGCTGACATTCAAGGTGCTTCCAGATGAGACTTTCCTAGCACCATTGCCCTGCCATAGTCATGGAATTTTACCATGCATGTGTACCCAGATGGCGATGACTTCCACTCATAACCCTCCTGTGTTTTCCCAGCACTTCTGTCGTTTTTCTGTATTGTGGAAAATCCACAGACAGGATAGCTGGACAATGCCTTTTCATTGTTAGTGCTAGGAGTCCTTGGTCTAAAGGAAAAGTACTGGAAAATAACAATCTGGTTTTATGGAGCTCAGTTCCACTCCCCTGTTAGCCCATCGGGCTTCATGCTTATGTTGCCCAAACACGCACTGGAAACCCAGATCAAGGGGAAGGAGAGCCTTGCTGAGGTTATGCATTATGATGGTGATAAGACTGAGGTAATGAACCTGATGGTAATAAACCAAGCAAGCCTGAGGCCTGAGGTCCCAATCCAGCCTTCCTTGCCTTGGCCTCACTTCACTTTCCCCAACTCCTGTAATTTTGTGGCTTCCCAGCTTTTTTGGGGATCTCTTTTCTTCCATTCTGGAAGGTTAAACTGCATCATCCATGCTTCATTACTAGCAGGAAGAGCTTTAAGTTGCAACATGCTGGTGTTTTGGCCCCACCCCTTTTACTTTGAGTCCCCCACCCCACCCTCCACCCCTGCCATGGGAATGCAGCTCCTGAGAGCTTTTCAAAATTGAATTGAGCCCTCAGACTGAAAAAGAGTTGACACCCTTCTAGGGGTTTTTTGTGTGTGTACTCGGGTTCCCCACTCTGTGTCAAACTGAGAACCTGAGACCTGGAAAAGGGAGAGAGGATTCGTACTTAGCTGTGCTTATCTTTTGCCTTTGCCATGTTCCAACCACAGGCTTACTGGCTCCTAACCTGGTGCTCAGGAATACATCTGCCCGAGGCTGGAGTAACATCCCTTTCATCACGGTACCCCTCAGCCGAACCCACGGCAAGTCCTTTGCTCATCGCAGTGAACTGAAGCATGCCAAGAGGATTGTGGTGAAGCTGGGGAGCGCTGTTGTGACTCGAGGGGACGAATGCGGCTTGGCCTTGGGGCGGCTGGCATCCATTGTCGAGCAGGTCAGTGGCAAGGGGGCCCTCTTGGTGGCTGGCTGCTTGCTGCTCCCAGTCTGCAAGCCCAAGCCCTTATAACAGGAGCTCCGGGGTAAGAGAAGCTTGCTCCCCTTCGTGCTGGGGGCACAACCATGGCCAGTGCCTGAAGGGAAGGAGGTGGGAAGGGAAGCAGGAATTTAGGTGAAGGGGGATGTTTTTGAGGCTTCCGCAGAGACAGATGGAATCTTTAAATCTGCCTCTGGTTCCTAGCAAAACTGATAAACCCCCGAGGTTGGGCGCAAGCTAAAAGGAAACAGAGGCAGAGAAAAAGCCCCACAACAATGTCCAACCTGACTGTGGAATGCTGGGGATTGTAGGACTTTTTTCTGTCGAAGCATGCATAGGCTCACGCCCTATCAGTCTCTTCCATCAGTAAAGGCACATGGTGTGAATGCTCCTCTCTAATATATGTTCCAGCACGGGATTGTTGCAGAGTGGTTGAGGTGGGAGTGCAGCTGTCATTAAGCTGCTAAACATTCTTGGGCCTTATAGCAGGAAGAGGGTGACTCTCCTATAGCACAGGACTGATGGATTGGGCAGGATCAAAAGGGGTGTGTGGAGGTGGGGGAAGCTAGACATCCTTCTGCATTGAAAAAGCGGGTTCCCACAAATGGGTGCAGCCGTCTCCAAAAATTAGTGGCAGGGAGTTTGTCTTTAGAACAGAAAGAGCCTGCTTCTTTCCTGCCACCAGGTGTCCATGCTGCAAAACCAGGGACGGGAGATGATGATAGTCACCAGTGGGGCTGTGGCTTTTGGAAAGCAGCGGCTCCGTCACGAGATCTTGCTGTCACAGAGTGTGAGGCAGGCTCTGCACTCGGGGCAGAACCAACTCAAGGACATGGTGAGTAACCGGGAGGGGAGCCAGTGGTCCACAGCCTTGCTACCAGCAGTGTAGCACCAGTACACCTTTCGTGAGCAGAGGTGCAGCACTAATTCCCTGTTCCTTCCGTGTTTAGCTGCGATCCTCGCCATAACTAGAGGGTAAACGGATCTCCCCAGCAGCTGCCTACTGACTCCTGCTGCAATGCAAACAGTTTGGGGGTAGCTCAGTCTTCGAATGCGCTAGCAGGGCCCATTCGATTTGCAACAGACCTGCTCTAGGTTGCAGTGCCAGAAGTGGCTGGTTCATATGGCTCAGCGCAGCCACCTGAATGTTTGGACTTTCACTGGAGTCATGGCTGTAGGCAGCATCGTGATGAACACCTGCGCGTCAGAATTTACCTGGCCATCACAAGTGGTACAGGTGCCGCCCTGACTAGCTGACCTGTCCTTTGCTCCCTGCAGGCCATTCCTGTGCTGGAGGCGCGGGCCTGCGCTGCTGCTGGTCAGAGCGGGCTGATGGCTCTGTATGAGGCCATGTTCACACAATACAGCATCTGTGCAGCTCAGGTAGGAGGCTTTGTATTTGTTCTACAGTGACAGTGAGCTCTGCTCATGGCTTCTGTCATCTGGAATAGCCTTCCGTGCAACATCCTCGAGCTCCAGGTCCTGCCAGCACACGGACCCTCCCTCCCAGTCCAGTACCTGATCTAGGAGTAGAAAAGATTCTAGGCTGGTGGGGGGAAGCTCCCCATATGTATCTGCGAGGAGGCAAATACTACACATCCCTGAGAAGACTCAGGATGTCATAAGTCATACCCATCTGGGATAACCCAGGATGTTGACTGTGTCTTGTATAACTCACACTTTCTTTTGTGACACAAGATGAAGTCCATGCCTGTTGTAAATCAACATCAAAACAAGAAGATAAGTTAATTGTTAATGGATGTATTTATGATTACTGCAATTTGCAGTGATTGGGCTAGCTTTCTAATCCCCTTTGTCTAACCAAGGAATGCTATGTAAGCAATGGACTTTGTGAACAGAGACACCTGTTCCTTTCAGGGGACACTCTGACAGTTTCAGTTCTCTTTTCTGCATTTGCTAAGGAGCACACTGAAATAAATCTGCTTACTTAGGTAAACCTAAATGCAGAGGGAATTTACTTACTTACTTAGGTTACCCTAAATGCATTTCTTGGATACTGCCAGTCCTGCTCTTCACTTAGTCCTGCCTCATGTATTTTGCACCAATTAGGGGTCTCTCATGACTCAGCAAGGAGCATATTTCCTTGCTGTAGATTTTTTGAAAATGTAGACGGTTTCTTAGTATTTGACTTATGTTTTTGTTGGCCTGGCTCATGCCGAAACTGATAATGGATAATTTTTGTCAGCACAGTTCTTTTCATCTTTCCAGATTTTGGTCACCAACCTGGATTTCCACGACGAACAGAAGCGGCGCAACTTAAATGGGACATTGCATGAGCTGCTGCGGATGAACATTGTCCCCATCATCAACACCAATGATGCTGTGGTTCCTCCCCCAGAGCCAAATAGTGACCTGCAGGGGGTAAACGTGGGTAATGCTCTGTTGGGTGGTTGGCATTTGCTGACTCGCAGACCTGCTAACGTGCTCGTTCTTGAGCTGTGCTGCACACTAATGGCAAAAGGCTTTGGATTCTGCAAGGAGTCTCGCAGTGGCACAGCAATGCATGGACTGCGGTGGCACTGGCATGCTTGTCTTGCTGCTTGTGGATGCAGCGCATTAGGCAGGAGCATTTGGTGTTGCTTGAGAGGCCAGGAATTGACTCAGTGCAAGCAGCATGACTCCTCGCCATACAAATAGTGCACGGTGTGCTTGGTTTTCTAAGAATTGGCTGGGCAGGTGGTAACTCTTCCTGGCAGAACATCACTGTGATTGGCTCTTATGTGTGTTCCAGGTGATTAGCGTGAAAGACAACGACAGTTTAGCAGCACGGCTGGCTGTAGAAATGAAGACTGACCTGCTGATCATTCTTTCAGATGTCGAGGGTACCAGAGTCATTTTATCTTCTTGCTCAGTTGATAGTGCAGCTCTGAGCTCCTTGCAGAATTCTGGCTCAGAAGAGCTCTGGACCAGAACTCTGTGGGTGATGCTTGTGGCGCACCCAACTGTGTTTACAAAGCGCACCTGAAAGGAGGGGGTGTTCTGTTGTTACAAACAGAAGTGCAGTCTGTACCTTGTCTGGCAGGGGTCAAGAAGAAAGGATTTTGAGGGGAAGCTTTGGAATGGCTTCAGATCTCACCAAATGAAATAATTTCCAAAGGGAAAAGGAGCATGCAGGGTCTCTGGTTTTGCTTTTGGGGCTCTAATCCTGAACCTGCTTTCCCTTTGTATGATAGCTTGTGGGACTGGCAATTGACGTGATACTGATTGTGCCATTGGGAAAGTGCCATAGCTCAGGGGTGGACAGGAAAGAGATCCCAACTTTAGTCTTTTGTTCTTACTTCCTGTACTCCATTTTACTACTGAAATGAAAAGGCTTGGTATAACTAGGAATGGATGGTGAACTGTTAGCTTCATTCAGTTCTGGCACTCAAATCCCTGGGCTCAGAGTTTTAGAATTGTTGGTGCACCTTTTGCAGCTGACTCTGGTTGGTGGTTCAAATGGATTTAGTGAAAAAATAAAATGGGTCCCTCAGTTCTGAGATCTTGGCCAGCTGAATGGAAGCTTTTCCCCTCTTCCCTTGCCTCCAACTTGTAGGATACAAGGATATTGTTTTATAATTATGTATCCATAATCTTCTTGAAGAAGGGGACTTCTTGCTCATTCCCATCCCTTCATTTCAGGCCTCTTTGACAGTCCCCCAGGATCGGATGATGCAAAGCTCATCGACATATTTTATCCTGGAGACCAGCAGTCTGTGACGTTTGGAACAAAATCGAGGGTGGGGATGGGAGGCATGGAGGCCAAGGTTGGTCCAGCATCCTTCCGTGTTGCTTTGCTTTTAATGGGGGGGGGGGGGGGTGCTTGAGGGCAGGATGAGATTTCAGTTGATGCCTTTATACTGATTCAATTCTGTGTGTGGGGGTAGAGGAGTCTCCTTCACCTGCTCTGGCTTTGGGAGAGACTACAATTACAAAGCACTTACAGTGAAAGCTGCCTCTGGTTTTTGTGTCTCACAGAAACATGATTTGATTTCTTAGAAAGCTGCAGAAAATCATGATTAAGTTTGTTTGGAAATATGATTTTTAAAAACCTCTTCTTCGTAGGTGAAGGCTGCCCTGTGGGCCCTCCAAGGAGGTACCTCGGTAGTGATTGCCAATGGAACTCATCCCAAGATCTCTGGTCATGTCATCACAGACATTGTAGAAGGAAAAAAAGTCGGCACGTTTTTTTCTGAGGTGAAGCCAGCAGGTAGGGTTATAGTTTGTGAGTGGCACTCAGCCAGGGTAAGGAATATTTAGGAGGATTAAACCAGTCTTCCCCATTTAGCACTCTCCCAACATGTCAGTCTGCAACTCCCATAATTCTGTTGCTCATGCCAGCTGGGAATTATGGGAGTTGCAATCCACCACATCTGGAGGATACCAAGGTTAGGGAATACTGCAGAAGAAACTAGGGAAAATGAAAATCATTTGGGGCCTTGAAAACTGTGAGGGGAATGCTTTATTGGATGGATGTCCACTGTTTTGCAGGAGAGAAATTGTTTCTGAGATGTGTGCTCCCTCTTTCTGAACTTGGGGTGTGTGTTAAGCAACTTTTATGAATCAGGTGGGGAAGGGTAACTTTTCTAACCACAGTGTGTGCGATGGCTGGGACTGACACTATGGTAGACATGACGTTCCCCCTTGCTCTTTTTTCAAAGGCCCAACGGTGGAGCAGCAGGCCGAAATGGCTCGTGCAGGAGGCAGGAGTTTGGCAGCGCTGCAGCCTGAACAGGTAGCTAACCAGTTGGCCAGTGGATGCACTTTAAAGCCCTCAAATGCACTATATCAGTTCATTGTGAATATGCCAGAGCAACAGTAGACCCCACACAGAGATGAACTCTTGTGAACATTTTAGAGCGATGGATTTTCCCAAGTATAGTGGGAAAAAAGGGCACTCTGGAAATGTGTAAGTGTACTTTTCAAGATTTATTTAATTTTAAAAACTGATCAGTACTTTTTGTTTGAGTGCTGTCCTTATCCAGTTGAGTATCATTATGAAATACAATCTTTTTCATTTGAAAGAATAATGAGCAGCACCTACACAGTGCTTGTTCCGCTGAGTGAGAGTGTCCCTTACTCTTGCCTCCAATGTCAAATGAAGTTAAAACAGCTTGTTACACTTAAATGCCGAGCGGCTTCTTGCTTATCTTACTACAGAGAGCAGAGATCATCTATCATCTTGCTGACCTTCTGACAGACCAGCGAGAAGAGATTCTTCAGGCCAACAAAAAGGATATGGAAGAAGCTGAGAATAAAGGTAATGTGGGTAGAGTAAGGAAGCACAAGTGCCCCCATTGCTTATGGAGTGGGGATATTCTCCATCAGGCCCAGGGCTGATGTCTGAGCCTGCCAGACTGGATGAATTTATCCTGGAAACATGGAGGTGGCTTTGGCCATCTGGGTTGTTGGTTCAGCTGAGCCTCTTCCCATGAATTATCTGCCCCACTCAAAGATCTGGATCCTGGAATGAGAGCCATTCAGTCTTCCTGTGACACAATGGAAGGATGCTCTGCTGCCTCGAAGGAAGCCCTTCGGGTCTGTGGCTTTGATTTCGTTATTCTCTCTTCATATATCATAATGTGTCACTTTTTAATCCAAGTTCATTAGCTACACAAATTAGCAAGAGCTGTCTTCCTATTCTGAGTGTTTGTGTCTACCTGGCCCAGGTTGAAAGAGGCAAATTCCCTCCCCTCCCCCCCTCCCCCCCTCCTTTTTTTGGCCTTCTCAGGCTGTGACTCGCCTTAATTTGGACCACTTGAACGGTTGGCTTGGGTGGCTGAGTTTGGCAGCCTGATAATGTACCCTGATGTGCTGGCATGTGCTTCCATTTCAGGGAGGCTGGCCCTGCCTTTGTTGAAGAGACTGAGTCTGTCAACCTCCAAGCTAAATAGCCTGGCCATTGGGCTGCGTCAGATTGCAGCATCTTCACAGGATAGTGTTGGCCGGGTCCTTAGAAGGACACGAATAGCAAAGGACTTGGAGCTGGAGCAAGTGACTGTGCCTATTGGGGTCTTATTAGTGATCTTTGAATCCCGGCCTGACTGTCTCCCGCAGGTAAGTTACAAGGGCAAGACCATTTAAGATAATATGGAATGGAAATAACTTTTATTGCAAGCTTCCCCCTTTATTTCCTTGGAGAACAAAGTGGAATTGTAGAATCATGGAATAATAGAGTTGGAAAGGCCCAGAGGGTCATCAGGTCCAACCGCCTGCTCAGTGCAGGACACCAAATTAAACCATCCCTCTCAGATGGCTGTCCAGATGCACCTTGAAATATCCGAGTTTTATATGAGCAGATCAACCATTTGATATTTAGCACTACACGAGAGCTTTGCAATCAACATGGACTCACCCCACTATCTTAGCCCAAATATGCAACTGGGATTAAGTGGATGAGCTCGCGTCTACATGTCTGCTGTGCTCAAGCACTCCGGTAATATTCCCCCGTCCCTATAAAAGCTGGGACTCTGCACCCACCAACCCTCCAGAACCCATGTGCAAATCAGAATCAAGCCATTTATTCCACTTGCTCAACAGAAGTCACATTCTAGAGGGAGACTCAAGCTTTCATTTCAGGATAAAACAAGGTGCTGCTTCTTAAGTTTGTGAAAAAGGAGAGTAAGAGCTGTGAAGGGAGTTCATATTATGGTGTTGACCACACAGGTCCTCAGACTTACCCATTACTTTGCAGTCATCTTGTTTAAGGCAGTGGAACTGGGTTAGAAATATGTGCTATATATTTATTACCACATTCATATACTGCTTTAAGCCCATAAGATTCCTGAGCGGTGAACAATAAATAGAAAGCAAAAACAGTCAAAATAGAGAATTAACATACTCAAGTTTCACCATAATACCGTGGCTGCCCATTCAGGAAAGCTTGTTTAAATAAAAACCGCTGTCAGCTGCTGTCAGAACCAAAACAATTGTGGTGCTTGCCTGACATCCAGAGGCAGGGAGTTCCACAGAGAGATAGCCCAGACTCCTCCCCCAGGGCTCCACTCCAGGATGCTCTTTTCTCCCATGTAGCTGCACAGAGAAAGTGATCTTTCCCCTTCCCAGCCCTGTTCCTTTCTAGCTAGCCTTGTAATGCTTAGCACTTTCTGGATCGTGAGGCTGAAAGTCCATGACTATCCAAAAGCCTCCCAGTGAGTTCCATAGTCAAGTGAAGACTAGATCCTGGTTCTCCTGCGTCCCAACCCAGCACTCTAACCACTGGGCCACCTTGCTTTAGGAATGCCGTGCTAGTCCTGTCCATTGGGCAGAGTGAGGTGGCTTCAGCGGTTGGTTTAGGTTGTTGGAAAAGGCTAGTGCGGAAAAGGCTAGTGCATTGCTACGTATTGGTTTATGGGATCAGGATATCTGAGGAAACGCCAGTCTCCATTTAGCCCTTTCTGACCAATCAGAGTCCTTCTCCAAGAGCCATCCCCAAATGAAGTGAGGGGAGAAATGGTTTGGGGAAGGGCCTTCTCTGCGATCACACCCCACCTGGGGATCACCCTCCCTAAGGAGGCGCACCTGGTGCTGTTACGGTTCTCCTTTGGGCACCAGGTAAATATGTTTTTATTTAACAGGTGCTTTGGTGGCTAATGGCTTTTTAATATTGTCCTAAATTTATTGCTGTGTTGCTTTATTGTGACTTTTAGCCGACTGTTAGATTTTGTATTTTTAATGGATGTTACGTTGTTAACTCTTTTAATTGTTCTATTGCTTTTACTGTTGTTTTATTATTATTTGATTGTAAGCCACCCAGAGTGCCCTTTGGCTATGGGGCACCATATAAATGCAATAAACAAATAATAGTAGATACATTTATTTTTACTTCTCCTGAGAATTGTTTATGGGATGCTTTTTTCTCAGATGCCAAAGCTATTTAACCACCCACAGGCCTGAAGAAAGAGCCACTGTTTGCTTTTCTGCCCGAGGGAGTCAAAAGTCTGGGTCTTGTCCTGATAGGATTATCCCCATAATGTGTATTTGTTTTTATTATGTATGTCATCCTTAGATTTTTGGCTGTAGATGGGATGAATGAATAAAAAACATATATTTAATTTTGGGGAGAGATCCTAACTTGCCTGGACCATGACAATTTGATGCTGCATAGTAGGAGGTAAGGAGGGCAATTATAGGAATTGGGTGGTAACTAAGGTCAACAAAGATTCCAGATGCATGGTATGCAGCATTATAAATTTTATTCTTGCAGAATCAGTATAAATTTGCTCAAGGAGCTCAGAACACCATGAAATTACATTTTAATAAAGATGAAATAAGTGAGTAAATAACGCACTGAAAGCTCTGTGGTAGTTGCAGATGGTGTTTCCTAATGAAGGTCCATCCCTGCTCCGTTTTCTCTCCAATAGGTCTCTGCCTTGGCTATTGCCAGTGGAAATGGGCTGCTGCTTAAAGGGGGCAAAGAGGCAACTCACAGCAATCAGATCCTTCACCAGCTGACTCAGGAAGCCCTTTCCCTCCACAATGTGAAGGATGCCGTGCAGCTGGTGAGTAGAGAGGACCACAGAAGCCAGGGAGGACGCAGCGGCAGCATGAAAGGGGACCAGAAGAGAAGGGAGCTTCCAGCAGGTGTCAGGGCGAGAAATATTTGGGATGAAAACGTCAAAAAGCCCATGTGCTCCAATTTTTAAAATGCTGGTTTCCTAGTACAATGAGTTAACAAAGTCTGAGAGAGAATTCACAATAGAAAGAAATCCAGCAAAGTTTATTCTGTCACAAAAGAACTCTATTCTAGTTTGCATCCCAGGCAGACTTTTTTCCTCACTGAAATGTATTGGGTGACTTAAATTCTACTTGGCATCAACTTTGAATGTTTCCTCTGTTCTTTGTGTTGTGTATCTAAAGCAAATATAGATCTTTGGGTTCACGGAGCACAGGGAGTTCTTTAGGAATAGGCAGGGATCCTGGGAATGTTTGGCATCTGAGCCTGTGGGCCATTCAGGACTTTTTCATTTGCTACTATAAAGCAAAAATAGGGAACCCCTTTCAGCTGGAGGACAGAATTCCATTTCAGAAGCACTCTTGGGAACCGCTTTCCAGTGGTGGTGGTAGGAGGCTGAAGGCAAGGGGACGGATCAAAAGTATTAAAAGCACCAGTATATTTTGGTTCGGTGCTTTTATTGTCAGTACGTAATCCTTAGGAGAGGCATTCTGGCTTCTAAAATGGGAAAACAGTACGAAGGCCAGGAAACCACCAAATGACCGGTTGTCGGGGGAAGGGAATAAGGCCAGGGAAGGCGCGTTGCTCTCTGGGGAACCCCAAGAGGTTGCAGGTTGGCTCCCAGGCCTGAGTTTCCCCACACCTGTTGTAGAGGGTAAATGTGTTTATACCACTTTTGGTGAATGTTTACTTGGTTGCTCTACAGTCTGCATGTTTAACGGCTAGTCCTTGGTTTTACACGAAACAACTGGGCACTTCCATAAAATTGATGCTGCACTCTTATCTTTTATTGCCCATTGTGTTCACTTTTCCATTCTGTGCTTTTATCCTATGCCTTACTTTTAAGGGCAGGCTTCATTAATGCCACGGTCTTTACAGGTGAATACGAGGGAGGAGGTGGAAGACCTTTGCCATCTAGACAAGCTGATCGATTTGATCATCCCCCGCGGCTCATCCCAGTTGGTTCGAGACATCCAGAAGGCTTCTAAAGGAATCCCAGTGATGGGGCACAGTGAGGGAATTTGTCATGTGTATGTGGACTTGGAGGCCAGTGTTGAAAAAGTCACTAGAATAGGTGAGAGAGGCTTTTGTCTCTAAAAGGGTGCGGCTCAGTGATGGGCAGTGAGGGGAGAAATGATCAATGTGGTTCCCATTAACCTGCTTATTGTAGATGTTCTGCAGTACAGACATTGACTCTCTCTCAGCTGACAGGCCAAATTCAGTTTCAGAGAAGCTTCCTGGGATGCACATGTCAGTGGTGGGTGGAACAAAAGGGGCAGAGCCTCAAATTGTCATCTTCCCAGTTATTTTAGCGTAAAGCACAATTTAGGAGAGCCATTTCAATCCAGTGGAACTGGGGAAAACTGTAAAGGCTGGGACAGTACCTACCCATTCTGGAGAATGGGGGTGGGGCAAGTGGAATGGGGAGAGGCCTCCTGGGGCTGCAGGCAGGGGTGTCTGCCCTGCGCTGGACTCTGCAGCCCGGCTTTGTAGCACGAAGGTGTGTGTAACTCGCTTGCTTGGTCCTTCATCCAGTGAGAGACTCCAAATGTGAATATCCTGCAGCCTGCAATGCCCTGGAGACGTTGCTAATACACCGGGACTTGCTGAGAACGCCTGTGTTTGACCAGATCATTGACATGTTGCGCATGGAGCAGGCAAGTGAAGGCGGCCGCCTGCTGTGAGTTGCATGTGACTGCAGTCCTTGAGGGATAGCGATGTGCACCAATCACAGTGTGAACGCTCGTCACACAGCAGGATTATTTTTGTCAAGCCACCTGTCTCTTACCCTCTCAGACAAAGCTTTAGGAGCAGTCCTTTATTTGAGCTCTACAGGGTTCAAAACAGCATAAAGTGAAGGGACAATCTCTTTGAGATACGGGAGTAGCGTCTCTCCATACGAAGAGTTGAATCAGCACCAAGTGTCCCCTCCTTCCCTCCCTTTTCAAGAGATTCTGGCTCCACCCTCAGGGTGGTTTCCACTGCTTCAGGCCTAGAGAGCAGGAATATCAGACTCGTCCTAACGGGCCCAGTTGCTTCACCTCTTGTCCCCTCAGTCGCCTTCCCTCCCTGTTCTGAAATGTTGTCTTCCTTTTGCAAGGTGGGCAGCTTCTCACACTCTGTCTGAGTGCCTTCGCTTTGTAACCTTGGGTCTGCAAAGCCGTCTGCCCTCCTCCTCCTCCTCCTCCGGATCTCGAGAGTGCATCTGGAGGGACTGTCGCTTGAGACAGCTTGGCCCCCCTCTGCAATTCTGAGAAGAGCAGGTGGCTTTTCCTGAGAACACCTTCTGCTCAAGTGGCACAGCCTCGTCTTGGGATAGGCACTGGGGCTTCTGCCTAGGCTAGAGAGCCATTGAAGACAAATATTTAGAAAGGTCTGCATTAAAGCCATCTGAGCCCCAGCTTTTTGGAGATGTGACTCTTCAACAAGGGGAGTAGGCAGTACAGAAGGAGAATGAATGGAGGACTTGAGGCTGGATGGTGAATGCCCCCCCCCCCACTACCTCAGAGCCTGAGGGTCTTGAATTACTACATTGAAAGAAGCTGAGCAGTGTTACTGAGGCAGGCATGCCCTTGTATGCTGTTACCCTCATGTCCCACTTCCCATAAGTAACTGGTTGACCACTGTGCAAACTCAATGCTGAATTAGGTTAGCCTTTGATCTGCTTCTGCAGGACAATTCTTAGGTTCTTATGAGTGTCCAGCAGCCACTTCCCATAATATGGGGTAGAACTGCTCCAGTAGCTGTTCCAGCAGTGAAAGGGGAAGGTGCTTTTCTATTGAAGCACATAGGAAGGGACTCTGGAAGCTGCATTGTGCTGAGTCAGACCACTGGTTGCTCTGGCTCCTTAGTATCTAAACTGACTGGTAGTAGCTCCCTGGGATGTTGGAGGGGGTCTTTCCCAGCCCTACCAAGGATCGAGCCCACATCATCTGTACGTAAAGCATGCGGCCTGCTGCTGAGTCATGACCCTTTCCCACCATTTTATATAAGGGGTGCATGAAAGAGGAGTGTGTTGTGAACTGTTTTGCCTTCCGCCAGGTGAAGATTCATGCTGGCCCCAAGTTTGCCTCCTATCTGACGTTCAGCCCATCCGAGGTGAAGTCGCTCCGCACCGAATATGGGGACCTGGAGTGCTGTATTGAAGTGGTGGAGAGTGCACAGGATGCGATTGAGCACATTCATAAATACGGGAGCTCCCACACAGATGTGATCATCACAGAGAATGGTTAGTGGCCCCACGAACGCTCCTAGCGCACCGGGCAGTATGTGGTGGACTCCATTGCAAGGGACTTCTGCTTGGCCTTGGAGGGCCCAGGAGTGCATTGGAGGGCCACTTCTGAAGCGACTCCCAGCTGAGACGCAAAGGGCCTGCTAGGGCACGGCTTCCTTTGCGGTTTGTGTCTTCTTTCTTGCTGTCCGAGCCGTGTCAGAAGAACTGGCACACAGCACCTTCCCTTGCCTGCATTCCCTTTCCCGGGCACTGGAGCATCGCTCACACTGGCAGTAGATTTTCTTAGGCGACTCAGTCTGATGCTAGCAGAGCGGCAGAGGTGGAGAACGGGCACCTGCAGATGTCATGGTCCAAAAGCAGCCTCAGAAGGGGGCCCTAATAGGGCCATTTCTGCTTTTGGGGGACTGCTTGCCCTGAACACTGAGCTCCCCATGCATGTGTGTGTGAAAGAGAGGAAGCAAGAGAGGGAGAATTGTACAAAGCATTGTACTAATAGCAAATAGAATGCAACTCCTTCTGTAGCCAAAAAGCATTATAATCATGCATACATGAAAGCAGGGATCAGCAGGCTTGAGAAAATCCCAGCGTTTGTACAAATACAAACAAGTCCTTAGACAAAAAACCTAAAGTGGGGAGGTTGAGCCCCCAGAAACAGCTCTGTGGTTGCAGAAAGTTGGCCAGCTGATGGGGTGCAGATGGAAGGTCAGGAGGGACAAGATGGAGGGAATGAAGCATCTGAAAGATGCCATGAATGGCTGGACTCTGAACAGGAGCACTTCGCACCACAGTGTTTTGTTGTAGGTCCTTTTTAAGTCTTTGCAATAAAACGTTTGTTCCTCGCTTTCCCTGCAACATGTGCATCAATGGGCAAACAACAAACAGAATAATAAAGGCCTTGACAAAGGCCTGCTGTAACAGAATAGTCTCTGACTGGCTGCATCTGGCACTTATTTGGTTGTTAAGCCATGTGTGTGTTGAGACGTTTCCTTTTGCCTCCCTCAGAGCAAACAGCCGAGTACTTCCTCCAGCACCTGGATAGTGCCTGTGTGTTCTGGAATGCCAGCACCCGCTTCTCGGATGGCTATCGCTTTGGACTAGGTAAAGTCGTGTGCCAAGTGCTCCATGCTGCTTGAGGCCAAATGAAAATGCTTGCCTGAGGTCGAAACTGGGCCTTTTTAATACAGATCCAGCCTTTTTGAAAGAATATTTAAGGAGATTTGCCTAAGATCTCTTAAAAAGCTTTAAGGTGTTTTAGGATTTGAGGGATCTAAAAGGAGTTCTGACTGGTTTGGGGCTGACAGCTAAAAACTTAAGTTGGGACAAAGGCCTTGGTGACAAATAAGGGGAGCTGAGCTCAGGGACGCATGTGAATTTTGTATCCAGCCATTTAGGACCAGAATTTGCCTTAATGAACACTCTTTGCAGGAAAAGATTGTGTGTTCCCAAGAAGATGCTCATTCACATGATGTGTACTTTAGAAATATGAGCACTTTAAAAATGCACATTTGCATGCCTTGTCCAATGGGCATTCAAGTGTGCACTTTAAAAGGAGACAATCTTTCCTGTTTCAACAAAGGGAAAAGGGCTTGCAATTCAGAGTGGGAGTGAGAGTGAGTTGGGCGAAACTTTGAGGTAGAACTTTAGAGGATCTCGATGAACTTGAGCCTTCCTGTTTCTCCCATCTCTCATCAAGATCCCCAAATAAGGATGGGTTGCAGGCAAGATATAGTTGAGGCGATCAGTAGCAGAAGCCGGTAAACCTACGAGTTGTGTCCAGAAAGTAATGAGAATATTTTAAAAATTTACCATTGAACTGCGTCTCCTTCAAAGGATGCACCTTGTGAGTGTACACAGCGCTTCCGGTGATTTTTCCATTCTTCATAGCATTCCTGGAAGTCTTCAAGTGGGATGGCGTTCAGAGCCTGCATAGTGGCCCTTTGGACGTTATCCACAGTGCCAAAACGGGGTCTTTTCAAACCATTCTTCATCTTTGGGAAGATGAAAAAGTCACAAGAAGCCAAATTGGGGCTGTAGGGTGGATGGGAAAGTACCATGATGTGTTTTTCAGCCAAAAACACTCTGACAGGCAAAGCACTGTGACTTGGTGTGTTGTTGTGATATTGTTGGTGCGTTGTTGTGATCCTTGTTGTGATGAAGGATCCAAGTTGAGCTGATCTCAACTTGTGCCCTTGGTACACTTGTGCAGATGATAGCACAGCTTCTCCATATGCCTTCCTCACCATTTCCAAAGTTTCTGATGCACTTTTACCCGCAGAAATTTATTGCGTACCGCTGTTCCAAACTCACTTGATTTTTCTTAACACGAGGCACTTGAACAGGGTGTCACAGAAGGGAATGTCTCGACTCGACAGGGCTGCAATGCAACTGATCAGTGTTCTAAGGTATTCCTGGCACCCCACCCCAAGTGACCTTGGCCAGCTTCTCCCTTCACAGAGTCCTTCTCAAGCACAGGGACTTCATTCTCATTACTTTCTGGACACAACTTGTATACGAACCTATGCAGAAGCATGTGGGTAAATCAGGATATGCTGAAAATTTAACCCAAGGTGGTAATTCTAGTGGAAAGAAACTTCGGAAGAAATTACTTGGTTGGGTGCAGATGAGTTAACTGCTTCCAGGCTTTCATTATGGGACTACACTGAAAAAAAGAATCCACACTTTGTTGATGTGTAAAGAGGGAAGCCTTGAGAAGGACAGGGCAAAAAACCAATAGGACTTACAATGCAGTGCAGAAGGGTGAGAGAGTATTGGGGAGAATTTTAAAATGTGGAAGGATGTGACTGGGAAAACGTGACTTCCACCACTGGAGAATTTCTTTCCACTCAGCTTCTCACCAGCTTGGAACTAAATTCTCCCATCCTATCCATGCAGGGGCTGAAGTTGGCATCAGCACATCACGCATCCATGCTCGTGGGCCCGTGGGAATTGAGGGCCTGTTGACTACGAAGTGGCTGCTAAGAGGAGAGAATCACATTGTGTCTGACTTCTCTGAGCAAGGGAGTATGAAGTATCTCCATGAAAACCTTCCCATCCCTCAGAGGAACACCAACTGAGCAACCCAGTTGGAGACCGCAGTGTTTATGGGGCTGCTGCGATTTTGGAACCTTGTCTGGAAAAGTAGAAGGACCTCCACGGTGAGGCCTACAGTGTTTTCAGGACTCTAGTCTTTCCAGGTGATCAGGTGCGCGGTTACAGGGGTGGTTGCAGACCATGCTTGGTTGCCTGAGTTCTTTCTCCCATGCAGACTACATTACTTAGATGGCGGATGCAGATGTTCAAGGCAGCCTCGTGCTAGCAAGCATCCAGGAAAGAACTCTAATCCTTCTCCACCTCACTTGGAATAGTGGAGAGCTCTTGGGTTGACCTATTTATTGATCTGATGCCTCCTTTTTTCATTCCAAAAACGTCTGGCTTTTTGTCCCCCTGCTGCTTGTTTTGCAGAAACATTGGGTAGCAGTTCTGGTTCTTTCTCCTTCCTTTGGAGATTTGATATCTGAAGAAGTTGTTATGAGAAGTGCTCCATGTCTTATTTAAAATGTTGAATCACATTAATAAATATTCCAGGTACAAGCATAATGGATGGTCTTTTATCCAAGCAGTGCTTTTTCTTGCTTAGTTTCCTTTCATTGCTGGCTGGCTGTTGGGGTGTGGGAAATCATGGCTGTATACTATGAGGGTTTTCACAGTAACCCTTTTATGAATATTTGTACCAAATATTTTTGTCCATGCATTTTATATGGAATTTTATTTCCCTTGAGAAACTGAAAATATTTTTCAAACTTCATGGTTTTTCAAATAAAACTCCCTTGCAATATTACTCTGGATTCACCAGTTTTGTTTGTGGTGATGATTCCACTTGTTTGTCGAATTTCGGGTACATGCCATGTTGATGGGGCATGGATTGTGCTGCTGAACTCATCTTTCACTGACCCTGTGATGCAATTAGTTCTTGTTATATATGCAGCACTTTAAGTGTACAGAGTGATTTCTGGTCCTTTTTAATTCTTGAGATTCACACCAACCCTGTGGTAGTTACTCCCATTTTACAGGTGGAGCATAAAGACTGAGGTGCTGACCTGACCATGTCACCATGTTTCCAACTTGAACTGTGAAGGCAGGAGCTCCTGAGCAACATCACCACCTGATCCATGGAACTGGGTTGATTTTGCTGCATTTCTTCCAGTCTCAGGAACATACATCCAGATATTCTGGCAGACAGTGCCTACAATTCAATGATCACTTGAGAATCTGTATGTGTTTGGTTTAAAAGAACAAGAACTGCTATGGGGTTACTACTGGGTGGGAGCAATGGTAGTATGGAGGCTACTAGGGGTTACAGAAGGATAAATACTATTGTGAGTCCCCTGGGAAACTTCAAATGTTTATAACCTTCCTTTGCACTGTATGTTAGTGGTCTTTGTTGCCTTACAGTCATGTTACAGATGCTCCACATTATGAACAGTTGCATTATGACTTGGATCTCCCAGTCCATTCTCAAGCATAGGCTGACCATCTGCCAGCTTGGCATCCCTTTTCAGCTTGCCTGGCTTAAGGTGCTATGAAATTTGATGTAACCATGATGGGTTTCTGGGAGATGCTCTCTCGGTCGTTGCCCTGTGAAGAACCTGAGACTCTTGGTAAGAGGATGGTATAGAAAAGCTACAAATAAATACGAATGAACTAACGAACCTCCACCTGGTCTTGGGAATGGGCTTGGACAAATCAGTGTGTTTTGCCCACTTGCCTCAATCTTCTGAAAGTGCTGCTCCCACTCTCACAGGTTTGGTGGGTATCTTAACCCTTTCTCAAAGCAGGAAGAGATCGTCAGTGTTTTTACTTGATTTCTGCATGCCTGGCTATTGTATATATGCCATTTTTAGAGACCGTGATGGCTGACGACCACATCATTAATCTTTGTGTGTGCACACATGCTCCTTCCACTTTTTGCTTGCTTTCTCTCCTGCATTCACGCTTGGCTATCATGTGACTCAAAGGTGTCTTCTGTGTGAACAACTGTCTGCACAGATAGTCTAGCAGTATCTTTTAACATAAACCTCTTGACTGCCTCTTACAAAGTCAAAGGACACATTCCAACCTTTTGGAATAGGAAGTCCGGCACAATAGCCAAATGGTCAGTGACTGAGAAAAATATGGCTAGCTGAGAAGCCCGAGAGGGCCGGATTAGGGTCACTCGAGGTTCAGAAGTGGTCCCCAGGCCTGAGTATTTCCATGTCTGATGTCGACAATCAAATTTAGACTACTTCAGAATGGGAAGGATTGCAGATTGGGGCCTCTTTATCGCACATCTGTATTCCTTCAAAGCTCGTAATGGCGTTCCAGTTTTCAGGTTTGTCTCCCTGGTGCCCACTCTTTTGTGGGTTTCAGGCCCAGGTTGCTTGCCTGGCCCTTTTAACTGAGGACTGTATTGCTTGGATTTGCTTGCTGCTTTTTAGTATTGTTTCCTTGACTGCTGTGTTGTTCTCATTATCTGCATAATTTACATTTTAATTACACATGTGAATATTTTACATATTTGTGGGAATTCTTGGAAATAATTTGGTTGATAAAGTGGGGTAAAGTTATGTTAAAATAAATGGAAAACTCTTCCATCATATATTGCCATATGCATAGTGGAGGGAGGTGTTTTATCACCAACCAGCTGGACAAGTGAATGAAACATGCTAAACATCCCAGCTACTATCTCTTAGCAGTGACAGAAAAAGTAGTTGCATGTTGTCTTCCTTTCACACTGAAATTTTCCAGACTGATATATATTTATCAGTTTTAATTTTAAAATTACAGCATCAGCATGAAACTTAGCTCATTCAGGTACAACACTTCGCAGAATAAGGCCATAGTGTTACACAACATTTTCCTCTGTTGGCTCAGAAGCCCAGCTTGTGACGTTTACAGTATCAGCTGAACTCAATTGTCGTACTGACTCTTGCTCAAGATTTCCATGCTTGGTACATAGGGATACAATCTAATCTGCTCCTGTTCTCCTGGTCCCCGTGCATTAGTGACGACCAATGGCTTCTATATTATAATAAAATGATCCTGTCCAGAGATGTAATTCTTGCATAACACAGCAAGAAACAGGAATCTGTTCTGAGCCCCTGCATATAACAAGTTCTTTGATGGGTAAACAGCTGGGGAGGCACACATTTTTTTATTTTTTTAAGGCAAGATTAAACAGTATATCAATTGGGGGCATTGATTTCCACATATCTAAAGGTTCCAAGTTTTTATAGCAATCATATTTCTTTCGGTTCATGCAGCAGCAGGATGTGGAAACTAAAACATAAGGGTAAGCATTGATATTGCTATTGAGCAGCTGCTGTTATTTGGTCACTTGGTAGCCCTTTTGCTATTTTTCTCCTGCATGTTAGGAGGGTTTATGTGTTAAAACACTTCATTAGATGTTCCAGTAGTCTGAGAAGCTAGACTGTTCTCTCTCATTGCTGGCAGAGGCTGATTCAGACAGGACTGTTCCTCTGTCAGAACTGGAGTCCTGTGCATTATGTAGGATAAACACTAAAAATGTCTCTTATGGACTCCTTGGATGGAATTGTAGCTAAGACAGGGAAGCTAAAAGATGCTCTGGGTTAATTTTGGATGCTGAGAAAGAGAAAAGCAAAGAGACCTGGATGGCTAGGGCAATGTATTTTAAAAAGAGCGTATTGCATTGTGCCTGGAAGACCTTTCTCTTCTACAGCCTTATCCTTCTCAGCCTGCAACTTCTCATAAGCAAATAGTGTGGAGTAAATCCAAATTCCTAACCTCTCCCCAGTTTGAGATGGTGCCATTGATGAGTCCGATCCTGTAGCCAACTCTGGATCCACCTGATAGGTTCCATCTAGCCCACTTTTGGCTAGTTTGCTAATCAGGATGTCATTGGGCACTTTGTCAAAAGCTTTGCAAAAGTCAAGATAGATTATGTCCACAACTTTCCCACAATTCATCAAGGAGGTTACCTAATTAAAAAGAAAAAAGAAATCAGATTAGTCTGGCAGTATTTCTTCTTGAGGAATCCATGTTGGCTTGTAGTATTAACTGCATTGTTTTCAAGGTGTTTGCAAACCAACTGCTTTATAATTTGCTCCAGAATTTTCCCAGGAATTGATGTCAGACTGACTGGACTTTGGTCCCGCCTCCCACCCTCCTTGAAGTTAAGAACAACATTTGCCCTTCTTGAATAATCTGGCACTTTCTTGTCCTTCATGATTTCTCAAAGAGAATAGACACTGCTCCGAGAGTTCTTCCGCCAGCTCCTTTATGACTCTAGGATGGAGTTCAGCCTGCCCTGTAGATTTGAACTCATTCAACCCAATTAGATTATCCTTGACCATTTGCTGATTAACCTTGAGCTGCCTTCCTGCTCCTTCAGCTTGTACTTCTCCTTCCCGTGCCCGTTTTTGTTTTTTGTTTTAACCTGCTAGGGAAAGTTTTGAATAGCTCTATTGTTCTATTGAGGTTAGTGCAACTTTTACTGTACTGGAACAGCCTGCAATGTAATCTTTTCAACTACAAGCAGAATAAATATAGCACAGTGCACAGCTACTTTCAGAACAAGCTATCCGGAGTACTGTGACTTCACGTAGCTGAGCGTTAAATACCACGCTACTTCCTGTCTTCGTCCCAAACTCTTTGGGAACAGCTTCAACAGCTCTTGTTGCAAGGCTGTTTCTCCCTATCAAATGTTGACCCTTTGTAAGGTCACCGATTCTTTGTTTATTAGCAATTCCAAGTCAGCCTGCAACGAGAATCTCCTTGCTCAAGAGGGAATTACATTTTGTGTCAATGTCTCCAGGCAGCAGCCATTCCCAAATGTTCAGCAAGTCCAAACGCGGAGAGTCCCGGTCTTCGATGATCCAGCAGAGGACCTGGCTAAATATTTTGAGAGCTGCAGCGATGCCATAGAGAGCACAGTCCGGAGTGGCGGAAGGTGCTTAGTGTACTGTAAAAATGGTCGCAGTCGATCTGCAGCTGTCTGCACTGCCTACTTGATGAAGCACCGACATCTCAGCCTGAGAGATGCCTTTGAGGTACTGTCAGCATGCTGGAAAAACGAGTAGAGCTGTGTTGTTGAAACTGACCTGGAGAACTTGCGTGTTTAAATTCAGTAATGAAGAGATACGAAGTGAGTCAGCATTTTACCTTAGACGCTATGGGGTATCGTAGCCTTGACTCCGTCGGGCGGAGACGGAAACCAACAAAACGATCAGAAAGACAATGATGGAGGAAGCATGATTTACATAGGAATTTGTGTCTGGAGCTTGTTCTCCCCCCCCCCCCCCCCCCGGCCCCCGGCCCCCGGTCTCATGAAATATTTATGCATTAGAACCTTAATGGAAGCTAAATCTTAAAATGTCAGATTCAGGAGCTAAAAAACTAAAGCTGGACTGAAATCAGGCGGATTTATTTATTTTTGAATGAATAACCATGAATGTTTGCATCTTCCTTCATGTCTTGTTAGTGTACTGCATGTGGTTTTCTATTGTTATTTACAACCAACTTTCTGAGGCTTTTGCTCTTTATTCAGTTTTGTTTCATTGCCTGCTCTCCATTTAAAACTTGCATTTATTACTTAATGAAGTGACATATTTCCAAGCTGTTAGTGGAGGATTTAAACTAATAAGCCCATGCTTCCCTGAATGAATGTCTTATTTCTAGAGCTGATCTGCTGGAATGAGAAAGTAATTTCCTTTGTTGTGTATAATATCTGTTTCTCTGTACCCTCATCTCCTACTGTTTAGATTGTGAAGACTGCCAGGCCAGTAGCAGAGCCTAATGCAGGATTTTGGTCTCAACTACAGAAATATGAAGAACATTTACAAAGGGAGCATCAGGTGGATTCTTCTCCAAAGAGAACTTCACAATAAATATTTTGATTCAGATTATACTTTGGGGAAACTCTTTCAAAGTATGTGTGCTTGAAGATGCTTAGAAGACTGTGACTACCAGTGGTATATCTTATCAGACCTGAAAATGTGTTACCCTGTCACACACATTTCCAAAAGTTTTTATGTATGAAAACAGAAGTATATCCTTCATGGCCAGAAAGAAAATGTTCTAGAAGGAGACATCTTGATTTTATTGAACAAGCTGAGACTGGTTTGTGGGTTCCATGAGGCCAAGTCAATTATGTATTAAGAAAGAGAAGAGTGAAATGTTGTATAAAATATGTTTTAATGCATTTCAGTTACATATTTTTATTTCACCAAATATGGTATATGGCATTTAACATGTTGCAAGCCATCTGCATAGACATTATTGTGATAATCAGCTATACATAAAGTATTTGCTTTTACTTAAACAATACACAAAAATAGCAATTCAGAAGATCATAGGAATGAAGTGTTGGAATCTACAGAACTACTTCCGGGAGATGAAACTATTTGCTAGAATACAAAATAAAGGTTGGTTTGGGTTTATGGTCTCAGTAAACTTATCCTTATTTGCATTTTATGACTATTTATAATTTTGTTTCTAGCTGATAATTTATCTATATTGGGAGCCTAAATTCCACTTCCAGAAACTGTTGAACGAGTTTCTATAATCTGATCTCTGGACATACCGCTAGCTGAGGTTGTTATGAGTGGGAGTCCAACAATGTTTGGAGGACATTCACAAAGTCCCAGCCCTGAACTACCTCAGAATCACATCATCTTTTTCTCAGCTAAGAGTACTCTACTCTTGAGTTGGCATATTCTACCAGAAATGTGATGAGTGATGGAACATCACATAATAAAAAGCAACTGTTTGGGAATACCTCTAAGCTTGGCTGTGGAAGCAATCTTCTACTTAGAAGATTATGATGTCCATTCCCCCCACCCCAATTATAATCAGGCTTCAAAGTCTGCTTTTTAAAACACAAAAAGCTACTTACTACAGAGGGCACAATGCTATATTCTTAAAAAGTTGCTATAAAAATGTAACTAAGCTTCTTGCCAAAATGTCTCTTAACACATCTGGCAGCAGAAAGATCCTATAGCAGTGGCTAAGAGTGGTGAACTTGAAAGTCCCCAGTTCAAATCTCACCACTACTGCAGCTGCAGCCACTCACTCCCCACCTCCACTCACTCCCCTGGCTGCAATATGGGGCCATTCTGGCCTAACATACAGGCTGTTGTAAAGGTTTCTGAGATAAGTGCATGAAGCACTTTGAACACTTTGAGGCTGCAAACAAGGAGACGCACTCTGGTGTAGGCATACATAGGGCTGCATTGCAAAGCTATATAAACACTACTATTATAATAGCTTTATTAAGAAGTCCTTGACAGCTAGTCAGGATGAGCTAACTCATTCATCAGACACTACCTATCAATGTTCAGCTGAATATTAAACCCTCTGGACAGTTCTCAGTAATATTCTTCCTGAGAATTCTCATAGGTTTACAGTGTTCTGGTAAAATAAAAAACACACATTTAGGCTGCAATCTTATGCATGTTCTGACCAGAAAAGGTCCTACAATTCCCCACATTCCCCAGTCAGCCATGCACAGGATTGTGCCCTTAACAAAATGGGCTGGGGAAGAGAGCCATTCCCAGTTGAGTTTGGGGGATATGCTATATTGTTGTGACTAGCATTCTCATATGGCCACTTCCCATGACCCTACAGTTCATATGCATTCTCAGAAATTCTATATGTGCTGTGGCTTTCAGTACTGAGAAGAAAAATTTCTGTCTGAAGGTGGAGGGATGGTGGTGGTGATGTTGCAATGAGTTGGAGAATATAAAATGTTAAATAATCTAAACATAATCCTTGGCAGGTATGACTGACTCAGATTTCTTGATGTAAATACAAGGCTCACTGGTGCTCTGTGCAGCGGTGTAATCATGTTTTTGGGCCCTGTAATTAAAAAGAGGTATTAATCTAGTGCTGTGCACCCTCTCTCATCCATTCTTTCTCCTTTGGAGAATTATAACTGATCTTGACATTACTCAGAAAAAATATAAATGCAACATAAACAGTTTTTAGCTTACAGAGATCAACAGATTCATGGAGTTTGAAGAGATCTCAAAGATCACTTAGTCCAGCATTTGCTTAAATTCTTGCAGTAAAGGAGATCCCACCTCCTCCCAAGCAATCTAATCCATGAATAAGAAAGCCCAGCCTCCTCCAAGCGATTACCCTCCACATGTCCTGAACAACAATGCCCAGTGCTCCTAGCCATTGGCTATGCTGGCTGGGACTGATGGGAACTGTCAAAAACATCTGGAAGACTGCTATAGTCATGAGATTCTCCAAATTAATCATAAGGAGTGCTGCTTCACACATTAGTACCCCAGTCCAGAGAGGGGCACAATACAAGTGGAAACAGACTGCTGCCTGCTGATTTTGGAGCCAGAGTGCCTTCTCCAAGCTAACAGTTGCAGGCCCATGCTAAAGGTTAAAAAGTCAGTATAGTGCAGTGGTTAGAGTGTTGGAAGATCTTGATTCAAACTCATGCCTAGTCACAGAGCTCTTTGCATTACTGTGGGCTAGTCCCTATTCTCACCCTAACCCACCTCACAGGGTTGTTGTGAAGGTAAAACAACACCTTGTGCATGTTGCCCTGAGTAACTTGGAGGAAGGGGAGTCTAGAAATGTGACAAATAGGTAATAGTTCAACACATCAAATTTTCAGAAGGCTAACCTGATACATACACCGGTCAGTTGTTTGGTACTATGTTAAGCTTTTGTGAACAGTTTGGTATGTTCAGGTTCTGTTACATTCCCTTCGTTCTGTTGTTATGTGCCCTCAAGTCATCTCCAACATATGGAACCCCTCCAAAATCCTTGACAACCCTGCTCAGCACGTGTAAAGTCAAGACTGTGGCTTCCTTTAGGCAGACAATCCATCCCATATTTGGCCTTCCTTTTCTTCTTCCGCCTTCGACTGTCCCTAGCATGACTGTCTTCTCCATTGAGTCCTTTGGTTCTAGGCATCCATTTTAACTATATACCCCTTACATTCTTTAAGTATACAGTTAAACATGTGTACTTTATACCTACTACTCTTGAATAGGAACAATTCACCTACTTTGGTTTTCCTTTGCATGATGCACATGTCAAGAAGATCCCACCAAGTATTGAAAGGGTAGAACCAGCCCAGCCTAGGTACAGTGCTGATCCCAGTTCATATCTGGAGTAAAGAACATTTTGTAGAAGCATCATGCAATCAAATCAGGCTATTATTATTTTTGTTGAATATTATACCTGTACAATGGCCACCATTAAGATAAAAATGGAGCTGGGGAGGCAAAGTTCAAAAACCTGTAGGTCTCCAGGCTATTGCTCCGGCAGGAGGGTAAAATGTTCTTTTACCTAAAAGGTGGCCTTCATGGGTTGTGTCAAGAGGCAAGGTGAGTCGGGATCACAGTAGGGCTCTCCCATACGATAAGCCTTCATCCCCAGTCCCTCTTCTATCACAGATTTAGATATCCCAGAGGGAAGAGGATGAAGCCTTATTTTTTCTGCCTCTTGATCATCTGACCAAGAGAATGAAGTCAGGAACTGGGAAGACAAGGAAGCAGTCAAGTGGTATTACAGAAATACGTGTGATAACAGCATTGTTAATACTGTTAATCTTTGTGAAAAGAAGCACAACACAGAAAACAGCATGCCAAATACAGTATTGCTTCCCGTACAATAGATCTTACACCAGATAATATGCTAATGTTAATCTTCAATCATACAATGCTTATCCTCTGCATTTTTGCTGCACTGGAATTGCTGAGTTAAGGTAAAAATAGACAAAGGTCTATTAACTTACTTGGTTCCACCATACAATGAGTCAAAAAATTCAGCCATGACCCTTGCTGCATACCATGAAACAGCAACCATTGATGAGAGACCTGAGGAAACAATAAAGGCTGACTGAGAGGTTTAAGAGGTCCATAACCTCGCCCAGTGAAAATACATGCATGATTAACCTTTTGATCATTTTAGTCCCCTTTTTTGTACTTTTTCCAACTCTACATTATCTTTTTTCAGGTGCTGTGACCAGACCTGTACACAATATTTTTAGTGTCATTGTACTAAAGCATGTACTATGTATATTTGTATAAGGGGAATATGGTGTTGGCAAGTTTACTTTCAATTCCTTTCCTAATTATGCGTAGCATGGAGTTTGGCTTTTTCACAGCCGCTGCACACTGGGTCTACGTTTTGTTTCGCTGTTGACCACAACCCCAAGATCCCTTTCTTGGTCGGGTACTGCTAGCTCAGATCTCATCACTTTATACTTAAATCTAGGATGTGTTAACCCAACACGCATTACTTTACACTTGCTTACACTGAACTGCATTTGCCATCTTGATGCCAGTTTGGAGACCCTCACGATCCTTTTGGGGTTTAACCACCCTAAATAGTTTGGTGTCATCAACAAACTTGTCCACTTCACTGCTCACTCCTAATTCCAGATCATCCATGAATAAGAGAGCAGCGTCTCCCACATGCCTTGCTCTGAACTAGCCACATGCACTAAGGTAGGGTGGTGGAGGATACTGTCCTGAGGCCCATGTTAAAGTGCAATTAAGGTGCCAGTCTGCTCGGCTGCCATACACAGGATGGGGAGATCGGCACCAGCGTGTTCTTTCCTTGATACAACAAAATGTCTTGAGCCAGCCCTGTCCATTAACACAGACAACTCAAACAACCAACTGAAAGAGTTTAGCCCAAAGGGAAGATTAAAAAATACCTGCATATCTTGGGAACAAGAGGAAACTAATCTGAAAGACAGATTTGTTTAGCTTTCCATTTAAAATAGCACTTATATAGTCAAGCTGGCTATCTAACTAATTGGATTACAGTGTATAAAGAAAAGCACATTGATATTCCCTATGCAGGTTTCAGACAAACCTTTGCTCTAGGAAGTCACCCTCTGTGGGGTCCCTATTCTCTGCTTGCATCATACTCTAGTCAACTACAGTTGCTTAACTGGTGAGAGGCCTCATGGCAGGGGTTATGCTAGATGTCCTGTAGTTCCTTTTATCCTTGTGATCCCATTTTTTTTTTCATATATTGCCTACTTAAAACTTGCCTGATAAAATGAACATCATTCCACCTATCATGGCAATCTTTGCTTTTTTGGTTTCGGTTGCGGTCCCAAGCTGAGTGCACCTTAAACCAAGCAATGCCAGAAGAGTGCCAGACACACCCAACACAAGAGACAAGATCATCAGGGCTCGGCATGCTTGAATATAAGCTGCAGAGGAAAGAAAAAACGACCAAAGGAGTCAGTTTCTCTATAGAACAAGTCAAACAGCAATTCCTGTTCATTGATCTAACACTTGACTATGAGCTGTGAACCATATATTTGGTTTAAGACATGGGTCCTCAAACTACGGCCCGCAGGCCAGATCCGGCCCACCATGCCCATTTATCCGGCCCGCCATACAGGTTTTGGATTCGCCACATGCACAGCGAGGTGGGGGCTTGCTCATGCAGAGATCGTTTTGGACTCACTTGGAGAAATGGATCTTCCACAAGCAAGCCTCCGCCTTTCAGTGTGTGTGCCCAGCGGTGGCTTGCTCGCAAGGAGATCGTTTTGGACTCATTCGGAGAAAAGGATCTCTGCCCAAGCAAGCTGGTGCCTCGCCGCACATGTGCATGCACATGTGCCCCTCCCCCCATTCTGGCCCGCCCCCCCCCCGCCTGCACCACCTTGGCAGCCCGCACCCATCACCAGCACCTTTCAAATGGCCCCCTGTTAAAAAAGTTTGAGGACCCCTGCTTTAAGAGAAGCCGACATCTGAAAGCCAGTTGTGACAGACGCGAGAGTGACTGGCTCTTGAAAAAACCTCTAAGCAACTTGTACAGTCAGAAACATTTTACATGATGCTATCTCACATGTCTATGACTGCATCTTTATTTTCCTGATTTCTTCATCTGAACCTGGGTGGGAAAAGGATATATAAAATATGCAGAAGGGAAATCTGCATCCTATCCTCTGAGAGGGAGAAAGCCCTCCCAGCTGTGATGCTGCCTGGGAAAGTCTAGCTGACCATATTGATTGGAAATGCCAGGAACTGAAACTGGGGCCCTCTGCATAAATGACACCTGTTCTTTACTACACCCGGGAGATGGTCCTTCCCTCCATTCTACTCTTCTGTGATAAAAAATCAAGCTTTTTGTTCTGACTGTGCTCTGCTTATAAGTATGTTGAAAACTGAGGACTGCAGATAAAGGATAAAAAATGTCACAGACAGACAGTTGACCTATTAGCCATCAGATATCCTGTTCTGTTGTTGGACACTGGCTGAAGACCCAGGGCCCATGTTGCAATCGTACTCAGTAGGGCTTGTGGTTCGGTGAACTTAAATCATTCATCTGTTTGTGAACCTTGGGCACAGCGTGTGGACACAGAGAACCGAAAGCTGAGAGAATTATCGGAAGGGTCCCCAAAACACTGAGGTTTCCAAAGGCAGACTTCCTCCAAGAGAGGTGTCAGAAAACACCTTCCGCTACCTCGTGTGACTCTCAGATTAGTCACCGAGCCATGGCCGCATTTGCACATTGCCTTCTGCCACTGCTGCTGCAGCAACAAAATAAAGCAGCAATGGAGAATAAGGTTCAAAGTACAGAGCGCTGAAGGGAAGCCAAACAAGACTACTTGCCATGTGCTCAGGCCATGCCCGGGAAGGGGGAGACCAATCATTCCTCTAAGTGCTGTGGACTGAACCCAAAGAGCAGTGGAGAGCAACCTGCAGCCCTTACAACGGCCACTTGCAAATCACAAAAAAGAAGTGCACATACGAGGCTACTGATTTGCACAACATTGTGTATCCTGCTCATGGCTTGTGTTTGTGGCTCATAGTCATTTATACAGATAGAAATTACTATTGGAATTTGAATAGAAATACAGTACATTTCTCCAGTTCAGTCTGCTATCTACATGCCAAGTATTGATAGGCAATTTCAAGGACCAGCTCTTCCTCTTTGACCCAGCCTTGGATGACAGCCCTTCAAAACAGAGGACAGTTTTCTGGCACTCCTTCAAACAAAGTATTGTCTTTTGTAAAATGGGGTTTCTGGCCACCACCCTCAACCTAATTTCAAAAGCCCTCTGCATGCAGTCTGTGGAAACAACTAGCAAGAATGATTTGCCACTTCTCTGGCAATCTGCTGGGTGGGAATGAAGAGAAAGAGAGAAAGGGGTGACAGAAAGAAAAAGGGATAACGCAGTTGCTTCGGGCTACCATCACCAACATGATTTCTAACAGATTCCTCATGAGGGAACATGGCCCTTGACAGGAAAACAGTTGCCCACTCCAAAGGTAAGCACCTTGGAAAATGTGGTTATCAGACAATACTGCTCCTGGCTAGAAGATGCAGAGAGAAGTTGGTTCATGAAATGAATACCTGGAATATGCAAAGCAAAACTAAATTATCCTACAAAATGTGCCCTTAGAAGGAACTTGTAATATTCTTCACTTAAAATAATGCAAGAAAAAGTGTGCATATTAAGGCAAAATGCACACAAAAATGCATACCTTTGTGGAATTAATATTTTAAAATGTCCTGCAAAAATGTGCTTATTAGACAAAAGTGTGCACAAAAATACACAGATTAATGTGCACAAAAATGTGTATGGATTTTCACATATAATAAAATATATGTTAAAATATGTTTATATGTTTAAAATATGTGTTGAAAATATATTTTCAAATTTTGGGATTAACCCCATTTAAGATTAAAACAAAAAGAAATTGAGAGAAACATAATGCACTGATTTGTCCACCCCTGTTCCTGCAATAGATGGACTGAAGGCAGATTAAGAAGCACATTTTGTTGCCCCAAGGAACAAATCTGAGTGGCCTGGCTTGCTTCTTGACATCACAGGAGAGATGGGGCACTCCCCCTGCTTCCTGCCCACTGTGGCTCCTAATGCTTGTGAGCAGCACGTGTTCTGGAATCTGCATCCTGAGCCCCTGCAAGGTCTTGCCTGGGATTCTGGCGTTCACTTTGAGATTGTACGAGGCACCTGCTTCCCTCATACTGCACGGTGAATGCAAGGCAGCAGGCAACTTCCTTTGGTTGCCCCAGGATAGCTAAATTGATGCACACAGCGGAGTAGGTGGGTCAGCGGGGAATCCATAATACCTTCTGACTATGCACTGGTACTGCTAAAATGACTGACTGAAACATTTGTGCACTGGATGGACCATGTGGCCTGCAACCGGGATGAAAGTACCATATATACCATCACAAGTGCACGTATCAGTAAGATATGTGGCTACTATTTTCCTTATGACGACAGGACTTTTATTGATGCCCTTATCAGTTATATGACAAGCTGAGTAATTTATTTCAAATATAACAACACAGTTTTTAAAACAATGAAATCAGCAGCTCCCTATCTATGGCAATCCAAACCTCTGCCCACCATCCCCTCTTCCTGGAAAGATCTTCTAATAAAAAGCATGCCAGGCATGGAAAGGCTTTGGTAGACTGTCCCATTCCCCCACCCCCTCACATAACCTGCAGTTGTAGACCCATTTTATGTGACCGATACCCAATTTTTCTACCAAGAAAAATGGCAAGGCAGTGTTATTAAAAAATAATACACTTTTGATTAAAATGATAAGACTATGCAGCAACAACAGAATTAAAAGTGGCATCTAATGCAACAGACCCATTAACCCACCAAAACCTGTTTGAACAAAAAGGTCTTTGCCTGCCAGCAGAACAAGAGCAGAGAGGGAGAAAACTTAGCTGGCCTTAGCAGGGAGTTCCCAGTCTAGGAGTGGCAGCTGAGAAAGCCCTTTCTTAGGTTGCCACCAAACACACCTCTAAAGGCAAGTCTCAAAAGAAGGGCCCCTTAAGATCCAGGTAGGGTCAGATGGTAAATCATGATCTTTCAGGGAGCCTAGTCCAAAGCCATATAGGAATTTAAATTCAGAATTAGCACTTTGAATTCTCCCTGTAATTCAGCCAGTGAAGTTGTTGGAACAAGGGACTCATGTGCTCCCTGTAATCAGCCCTAGTCAACAGTGCCTTCTGGGCCAGATCTTAAAGGTAGTCTCACATACAGTAGTCCAAACAGGATGTAACTAAGGAGTACACGATCACAGCTTAAGATCACCATCTCAAGGCCTTCAAGCTGACTCAGATCATGCAAAGTAGACAAAGCAGAAATCACCAGCAGGATCATCATCAGGTCCTTCTAGGCTATTGACTGGCAGTTTGAATTTGCTCTGCCCCCATAGAAAGTACCTGTATTGTGAACCTTTCATCTTTTTGGATGGTTGCCAAGGTCAAAATTGGTTTAGGGTGACCCCACTCCTTAAGCTGATTTGGTGGGTTATGCTTAGGTTCTCTTGATAAGTAAAGATTAACTAGTTAGTTTTATTTTTTAAAAATAAACAAACTATGTTTGAACTTCTCTCAGCTTCATTTTTTTAAATAAATGTACTGAATTGGAAACTAGAATTGATTTGATTGCCTTGCTTTGCCTAGAGTTGACTTTATTCCTGCACTTGGACTGCTTGGTAAACATGCTAGCCTGGTTGTTAAGAAGCTTAAGGAAGATCAGGAAATGTTTCCACCCTTCTCCATATTTTTTTTAAATTCAGAATTAATATAGTGCTTTCCTCATATAAACAGTGGAATAAAAACAACTCTCAATAAAACAGTAAAAATGCTTAAGCAACAATAAAATTGCACTCTTACTGTGTGCTACAAACCAAAGCTGGCTGGGTCACATTTCAAGGAAGATTTGTGTAAGGAGATGAGTCTTAAGAAGATGTCTGAAAGCCAGAGTCATGGCAGCCTGTATAATGTTAACCAGTAAAGAGTGGATGCTCTACACTAAATGCTCTACTTGCAAAGCCCTTGAGGCGAACCTCTGGATCAAGTTCCTTCTTGGTCAGGGACATAAGGGGTGGGACAGTACCAAAGATAACCTGTTTCCGAGTTTTTCAGAGTTACATGTTAACAACAACACCTTGCCTTTGGCCCAATAGCTTGTTGACAGCCAGTGCAGTTCTTTTAGCCAGGGTGTTGCTTGCTGTCAGCAGGAGGGCCAAGTTAGGAGTCTCACCACTGCTTTCTGCACCAACTGCAGGTTTTGGACTGAGTCCAAAGGTTGCCCCACACAGAGTGCCATACTGGAATCTTAAAGTTAACAGTTACTATATCCAAGCTATACATTATTAAGTATCAATATTCAATAGGAAACTATGAGTTCTTAAGTATTAATATCCA